ATCTACGATAATAAAATAGTAACAATTTTGACATTTTACCTCCAGTTTCCATTTACAACTCCATTTACGTAAAACACAAATATCTTACATAATTATCGTGTATATTTGCAAACCAACACTTTGTAAATACACTGTATAAATACTGCCAGAATTACATTACTTGTTAAGAGTTTTCACTAATATTATCAGAATGGTTGACGATATTACTTTTTTGTATGGGTCCAATGACAAGATATATTTTTTTCTTTTATATTAGTTATTCATATTATTTTTTTATTACATATTGGGTTTTTATCTATATATATATATATATATGGTCTTTATTTATAATAGAAGGCCATCGGCCCATAATATCTACATACATTATTTATATTTGAAAATAAAATTACAATTTTTAAACAATTGACATTACTTGTAGCTCTTTTCGCAATTTCATTGCGTGAAAAGTAAAGGCTCCCAGTCTTTGAAGAAGATCTGTATTTTTTGTACCCATTAATTTGTAATATTTACTGACTGTTGGGGGATTAAAAAAGTTAGCAGGAATATACTTTATTCTTAAATTAACAAAAAAGGAACAAATAAGTAAAAAATGGTATTCATTTTCAATGTTGTTACTGTTACAAAGCAAGCAAATGCGTTATCATTTATTGGTAATTTTCGTTCATTATATGATTGTTTTTTCAACGTACTTTGATTATTTTTTGCGTTCTCAACTTTTTTTGTTTTTGCATTTTTGTTAAGTGTCGTTTTGTTCTTTGAGCATTGTCTGTTCTCAACATTTTTTGTTTTAGCTCACCATCTCATGAACAGAGCTAGCCATGATTGAAGGATGTCAATCTTCAAAGACAATGTCCACCATTAAAGCGGGGGAGTCGTCACCTGCGCATGTGTCAGATGGCCATAGCGTGTCATTGTTTACAAACAAGCGTCTACCCATAATCCTTTGCGTTTTCAGCAGGTGACGACCCTTCCGCTTTAAGTATGATGCAAAATGTTATAGTTTCGGTGTATTTGAAGACTGAATTTTAGTTTTCTGTCACTCAGTGGTTGAAATCAAAGTATTTATTTGTTTTCCGGCCAGTTTCATGGGACGACGTACATAATTATACACTCTCTCCACTTTTACCATTTTGCGAACAGGGTTGCATAGCAACGTTAGAGTCCGGCCTTTACACCGACGCATGTATACTGCCAGCAGACGAATCACAGGACCTATCTGGACAACAACGACGAGGAACACGGCTATACTTAACGTAACATGTCTCTTATTT